TTGGGATTTTGGGGTTCGGAATTCAAGACTTACAGAGTCTGAGCTTACCTTGCTCTTCGGGGACATGGCCTCGGAATGTCTAGGATATAGGACTTGTCAGGGTGCAGGGCCAGTGTAAGAGTTTTCGTGTGTTGGGCTTTAGTATCAAAATCCCAAGCCCTATAGTATACTAGGGGCCTTAATAATTACCTATACTATTTTGGGGGGTTCCTTATTATATTCATAGTATAAGAGACCCCAAAATCTTATTCTAATTATTAAGGCGCCTACATTATGACCGGTTTGTGTTGCACCGGAGGCTTGCGAGCGCTCCCACCAGTGGCAGCACGCGGTCGACATGCTGTGGGCAGCTTGGCACTTACATTACACAGGGGCCTGAAATTATGAGAACCGGGTATTTAGGTTTAGGGTTTAGGGTTGGGGCATATTATACATTTTAACAAGAAGCCCTCTAATAAGGATAATATGGGAAATGATGCAGGCCTGCAAATTAAGACAAAAGCCAAGCTTCGCAGATGAGTAGGTAGGAACCTTCAGCCCTTTAGGGCGTGCGGCGCTTCTGTTGTGACCTTACCCTAAGGGTTCATGTGCCCAAATAGTATTATATACTTCGGCCCCAAAGTACCTATATAGGGACTACTTTAAGGCCCAAGTACATACTATTTGGGTACATGGACCCTTAGGGTTATGTAGTCTCGCCACAGAAAGATCTTATCGCGAACTCAGCATAGGCTAAAAAGCATAGGGGCTAGGGCCAGTCTGGGGATGCTACTTGCGATGCCGCTGAGTCAGCTTTAGGGTTTAGGGTTGAGGGTTTTGGGTTTAGGTTTTAGGGTTTAGGGTTTAGGAGTTTAGCGATACTTGCAGCATAGTTTGGGGGGGGTTACTTTCGCTGCATTTTTCGATATTTTTTTTCGGCCCCAGTGGAATTTTGAGGGTACCCCCAGACACCTCGAAGGCCTGAGGTATGTCTCCTTGTTGGTGTGATCCTCGCCGCAAGCCCTAAACCTCCGACACACTGTAACCATGCAATGCCCTGATCTAATTCGGAAGGAGCCCTGCACAGACACAGCACAGATATTGAGGGAGCCGACACCCTGACGTGCCCTAACCACAACGTCCTACACTGCGAAACTCTTTTCCCTTGCAGCACACCTGAGAAGCCCTCACCCGCAACAGCCCTTAAACACTAAACCCTGAACGCTAAACCACCCTAAACTCGAAACCCTAAACTCTGAATGCCGGTTGATGAACCTCTCAACTTCTGGAGCCCGAGAAGCTCAAACCCACGCAAGAGCACACGGAGGAGATCCCAATACCCCTGAAGTAAGGAATAGATCATAGTCCCTTAGTTAAGGGATAGACTGTTAACAGGTTCCTTTAAGGGTACCCATGAGGGTACCTATGAGGGTACTATGATAGGGTTCCTTTAGGGGATATGCCTGAAGATATAGGTGGGCTTAATATCATGGTTTAAGGTAGATTCCTGAATTAAGGGGTATTGGGATCTCTGGGCTGAGGAGATGGGTCGTTTCCAGGTGCAGAAGGACTTCTGGGCGAGGGCGGGGGGGGGGGGGCAGGGGGTTTAACCCTACTTCGAGCGTCGGTGGATTTAGCAAGTAGTTATTTTTATTAATGTATAGAGTCATAAGTAGCATAAACCCAATTAGGATCCCTTTTGGGGTACCTATAAATCTACTTCACACCTACTTGCTAAGTCTCCCCCGAACCCTCCGAGTAGGGCTGTTGAGGACTTAGGATGATCGGCTGTTGAGTTTCAGACTTCGGGTTCAGGGTTTTAGGGCTTTACGGGTTTTGGGGTTTTGGGGTGTAGGGGCTTATGGCTTTAGGGTTTTGGGGTCGAGGGTTTTAGGGTCTTAGGGTGTTAGGGGTTTAGGGTTTAGGGTGTTAGGGTGTAGGGTTTAAGGTTTAAAGATGTTTTAGGGGTTTAGGGTTTCAAGATTTACGGGTTTAGGGGTTTAGAGTTTAGGGACTTCTGGGTCATAGCAGTTGTTCGGGGCGGTTTGGAATTTTTGGGGGTGGCGAATTTCACGGTTGAGGGTTGGTTTTGGGGCTTGGGCGTTTGGTGTTCCCGGGCCGCAAATCCCTAAGCCGACATTGGGGTAGCGGTTTCGGGTTTAGGGTCTATGATAGGTCTCGCGGTTTAGGTTTAGGTTGGCGGATCTGGTGATCTGGGTGCATACCTCCCCCCATTCCGAAAACAAGTATCATGCTATCTTCGTGTGATTCTGGCTTCTATGCAGGAATCGCCATAACACGTCATATGCAGAGAGGCCACTACTCGCTACTCGTGAAAGTTCGGAGAGAATCCCTTGAAGCATACAGGGTTCCTCAATCTAGTATGGTTTACGAAAATTGAATTACCCCCTACACTGCCGTACACCTCAACTATGGTTGTTCTCTGGAGTTGATCCGTGAGGCGATCTCCACTGAACTATCGGAGCATTCAGGACTTGCAGTAGAGGCTGTCATGGTTGGCACGGTAAAATACGTGCTCCACGCCGGCTGCCAGACGGCTTCGGGAGAAGGAAGAACCTAACAAAACAAGACAGCTCTTTAATCAGAAAGTTGTTCTGACACCCTTGCAGCACCTCCTGATCACAAACCCTGAACCGTTGCAGCACCTCTAAGAAACCCCATGCCATTAGCATACAAATGTCACCCAGGGTCGTGAGCCTGAATCCCAACCTCCTTGAGCAACACCAACTAAGCCTGTAGCTGCAGCCATGTGAATGTAGGTCCTTTCACCTCAACTCCAGTCCCTCCACCCTAAAGCCTACTGTAGAGCTTACATAGGTTCTGAATCGCCTAGACTCCAAACCCGAAGCTCAGAATCTCGCAAGCCTTTGGTCCAAAGACTGGAAATGCGAGACCCCGAATCCTGGATTGCTGTCGCCCCAAACCAAGGACATTATCTTAGAGTTCAGAGTTTAAGGTTTAGGGTTTTAGGGTTTAGGACATTTACTAAACCCTAAACCCTATAAACCCTACAAGCCCTATAAACCCTATAAACCCTAAACCCCAAACCCCCAAATCAAGGACATCATCTCCTTCAACACCAGCATCGCCGCTTGTGCTCGTGGCCAGCAGTGGCAACTGTCGCTGAGGCTATTCGGCGACATACCGAGGCGGCCCGGCTATGACAGGGGTGGCTAAGGGTGTCGGGCTTTCACGGGTTTTCAGGGGTTAGGGTTTTGTGGTTTAGGGGTTTGGGGTTTAGGGTTTAGGGGCTTTGGGGTTTAGGGTTTAGGGGCATAGGGTTTACGGTTTAGGGTTTAGGGGCTTAGGGTTTATAGGGTTTAGGTATACGGCTCCCGTTTTAGAGGTTTCTCTAGCATTCCTTACGGAGGTTGATAAGAGGCGTATTCGGATTATGCAGCTTGAGGGTTAGGTTTTGGAGCGAGAGTTTGGGAGGGTCGAGGTTCGTGGTTGGCAGTTATGAAGTTCTGAGCAGCTAGGGTTTATGCGCATGGGATGTCCACGCGAGTGTGGATTGATTCCGATGCTACCAACATAGGTTGCGCTTGTTCGGTTTTGAGAGATAAGCGCTCACCGAACCGTTGAAGCTGTCGACACCTTTAGCTTTGTGTGATGCGACACGTCTGCCAGCCTCCAGCCAGCCTCCCAGCTTTCCAGCCCTCAGCCTTCAGCCATCAGAGTTTCCAGTGTTCCAGCCACGGGCAAAAGCTGTCCTGCCGCGGGGTTCAGGTTATGATTTGTGGCGCGCAGTGTTGTTCTAAACGAAAGAGCTCTTACGTGAAGCACCCCTGCAGAGAAGAAAGCAAGAACTTAAAAGTTCAGAGAAGTCCCTTCAAAGAAAAAGTTGCATCCTAGGGATTCAGCCCTGGAGGCTGACTTTAAGTGGATCAAGGCAGTATGGTTGAGGATGGAGGGCTTGGGTTCGGTTTTAGGATTCACCGCTTGACGCTGCCGGCCTCGGATGGGGGCAAACGAAGTGCTGGCTAAACCCGAAACCCTATATATAAACCCTAAACTAAACCCCTAAACCCAGTTTGGAGACATTCGACACCTGATCATCCCCCTGGGGCCGACGTCTCATGGCTCTTAGTAACTGAGTGAGTGCACATTAGACTTTTTGGGACAATATGATCCCTTATAGACCTGAAGACGTACAACTTTTTGTGCTTATGAACTCAGCAACTACGGGCTCTAAGCTCCAACTCCTGAGCGGGTCCTCGACCCTATAAGAAGCCCCAGAAGAAACGTGGAACCCCTGACTCCGAAAGCCCCGGGCCCTAAAAGCCCCAGCAGACTCTTCCAGAGGCAAAAGTTGGATCCAGACTTCATCACCTGGAGTTCGGCCATCAGAGCCTGCGATCTAGGCTTGGCCTTTCAGGGAGTTTCGGAGTTTCAGGGTTTCCGGGCTTTCAGATGTCGGGTTCGGGGTTCAGGGCTTTCAGATGTCGGGTTCGGGGTTCGGGGCTTTCAGGATTTAGGGCAAAAAGGGCTTGGTGAGCTTAGGATTTAATTTAGGTTCAGGGATGTACTGGTGCAGGATTTTGGGTTGTGGGATTAAGGGTTTGAGGGTTTGAAGGGTGCAAATTAGGGGCGTAGGGGTACTGGCTTAGGGCCGCGGCTTGAGGGTTCAGGCTTTTAATTAGGTTTCAGGTTTAGGATTGAGGGTTGGGAGGTCTGGGGCCTGAAAGCCTGAAGCCTGATGCTCGCACGCCGCATGAAGCCCTAAACCCTATGCCACCAAACGAGGCTCGGAACTGCTTCATGAGGGTTTGTTGATCCGAATTTTTTGAAACATATCAATTCGGGGTTTCGGCTTCACAGTATAACAAGGAGTTCCAGCGCGCAGTTTGGGGGGCGAAACTCGCAACCCAGCCAGTTTTCCAATTCATGCGGAGTATATAAGAGCATGCAGCATACATGTACAAGTATACATCTCTGTGGCCTCGCGCAGCCGAGAAGGTAGCTTGAGTAGCTTGCTGTCCTGACTTGAGCCGACATCGATGATGCAGCATTCGTCCTGGAGACGATGCCTTCGTCGTAGCCTGATACGCCTCCATTGTGTGAATCCCAGCTTCCCTATCCGACCGGCTTCGACGGAATTGACTCCGCCAGCCTGGTGGCTGAAGGGCCAGCCTCGGAAGGTCTTTGGAAGCAGGGCTGAGGTAGAGCTCCTCTCGCAGCTGGCAGTGCTGCTCATGCCGGGTGAGCCCATTGCCAAGGCTTTCAGGGATTTCCCGGTCAAGAAATGCAAGGAGTGGGGTTCCAGCAACTTGTGCCCGGACTTCACAGCGCATGGCGTGCTGAAAGCAGCTAGTGCAGCACTGTTCATCGAGTACGATGGCCATTACCGTCACAGGCAGCCACCGGGCTTGGCAACAGACATTCGCAAGACAAGTGCCCTTCTGCGATTCGCTCCTGCCGGATCTGTCGTGGTTCGAATCGTGCACAAGGAGCGACAGTGGAAGGATGGGTCTGTGCAAGTGCTGGTAGATTGCTGGCAGGCCGGGCATGCACCCTCCCTCCGCAAGACTCTGCAGCAAGTTCTGGATTCTCTGCTTTTGTGCTGTCGGCATCAACTGGTCCCTGGGCTCGCTTCACGGCTGGAGGCATGTGCCCAAATGCAACTTGACAAGCACGCAAGAGCCTTTGCAGTGGACGCAGCATTGGTGGGTAAGTCTGACAACAACGGGCTAGACGTTCGAGAGTTTCTCCAGACGGAACTGCACCTATCCGCAGAACAGGTTGCCAAGTCGATTGACCGGTATCCTGCACTGCTTGGCTTGAGCGAGGCATCCTTTCAGCCAACTGTTGAGTGGATGGAGGGTTTGGGCCTGAGCCAATTACAGATGGCCACGGCAATATGGAAATATCCAAACGTGTTTGGCCACAGAATTGAGACAAATCTGCAGCCAACAGTTGCATGGATCAAGGGGCTTGGCCTGAGCCGGTCGCAGGTTGCCAAGGTGATCGCAAAATTTCCGTGTATGCTTGGTTACAGCATTGAGGCAAATCTGAAGCCAACAGTCGAGTGGATCAAGGGGCTGGGCCTGAGCCAGCCGCAGGTTGCCAAGGTGATACAGAGATTTCCGCAAGTGCTTGGCTGCAGCATTGAGGCAAATCTGAAGCCAACGGTCGGGTGGATCAAGGGGTTGGGCCTGAGCCAGCCGCAGGTTGCCAAGGTGGTTCTCGAACATCCGCAAGTGCTTGGCTTGAGCATTGAGGCAAATCTGAAGCCAACAGCTGAGTGGATCAAGGGGTTGGGCCTGAGCCAGTCGCAGGTTGCCAAGGTGATTCTCGGACGTCCGCAAGTGCTTGGCTATAGCATTGAGGCAAATCTGAAGCCAACAGTTGAGTGGATCAAGGGGTTGGGCCTGAGCCAGCCGCAGGTTGCCAGGATGATCGCAACGTTTCCGCATGTGCTTGGCTACAGCATTGAGGCGAATCTGAAGCCAACATTCGAGTGGATCAAGGGGCTGGGCCTGAGCAACTCGCGGGTTGCCAAGATGATCGCCATGTTTCCGCAAGTGCTTGGTTATAGCATTGATTCGAACTTGAAGTTGAAACATGGTTTGCTACAAGAGTTCTTCACCGGAGAAGCTGCAGCAGAGCTTTTGGCACGAGCACCTCGGCTCTGGAGCTACCGGTACGCTCGGCTCGAACGTCGTCTGCATGTGCTAAAATCGCAAGGGCAGCTTTCCAAGCTTTCCGGTGCCATGACTTTGGGGCCGGACGACTTCAGCCGCAGATTCGCGCTTTGCCAGAAACGACGCGCTGAGTTTCGCTTGTGGTCTTTATGGGACATAGGGCTTCAGGTGTTGCTGGTCGGCCTCAGGCTGCCGTGCCGGTTGCAAGTCCACAGCGGTCTTATAGAGTAGAGTCCTCACGGTTTTCGGACCTTTATGATTCGGTCGGGGATTGCCGTGCTTAGGTGCGCAGGGCTCGGGATAAGCTTCAGGTGTGCAGTTTGGGGGTCCCAACCTGTGTGCCTCGAAATGAGCATAAACAGCACACGTATCTCGAACCCCCAACCCCCCAGACCCATTAACATGCCCCAAACCCACAGACCCATTAACATGTACAAAGGTGTATAGTCGCAAGGTTGCCCGTCTGCACGCCCGAAATATCCCTGTGCCACCTCTGGAAAGCTTCTAGAGCTTGGAGAGCTTTGCAGCATCTGGAAGGGCGGTTTCTTTTGCGGGATGGCTTGGGCTTTGGGTTTGAAGGGTTTGAGGCTTCAGGTTCTTTGAGCTTAGGGCCTTTTAGGGTTGCGGTTCTTGTTTTGAGGGGATTCAGGATGCAGGGCTCAGGATTTTGGATCTTGGGGCGAAGCAGCTCTGCGCAGTCGCAACGCGGAGATGCACATTATAGTGTTTCTGTTTGCGACTGTTTGAGGTGTAGAGGTTGAGGGATTAAGGCAGAGGCTGAGGGTTTAGGCAAGCATTGGCTTCAGTGTTTGGGTAGCTGGGTGTTTGCAAGCTTGCTGCCAGGTGGTAACTGGACGTTGGCTTTGGCTCTGCTGCAGCATATGCAGGAGGCACTGAGATTGGAAGAGTTCCGTTCTTGTCAATTTTACAATTTTCTTACCCCTGTAACTATGACATGAGCCTCTAAACTTTAGGCATTGCTCTGCCTAAACCCTATCCTAGCAATGAACCGCAAACTTCGTGATTATGCTGAGCCCAGAACTGCATGCAACTGTTGATAATTAATACCTTGTCTGCGCAGCTCGACTCGTGCAACCATAGCTGTACGGCTATTGGGTTCATAACGTGGTGCAAGGTCTGTCTTATCAGCAGTCGGACCGACGGAGGGGCTGCTTGGATCCGCGTCCCAACCTTTTCATACGCGGTTGCCTTCCACAATTCCGGAGCTCGTAGCTTTGCACACATGCCGACGGAGCTCCTTGATTATTGAACCCTTGGTTTGGGAGTAGAGCTGTGGACTGAAGTCCGAATCATGGGTTTGAAAACAAAAGTCGCATGATCTTTTGCCCTCAGACACGCAGATCCTGACATCGTTCCAGGATGTTCCTGGTGATGCCATTGCGAGCCTTCCGAAAGATTTTTCCCACAATGCCTGCGGAAACGCTGCTGGCAGGGAAAACCTCCAAAGGCGAGCCGCTTCTAAACAAGTTGCAAGACGACGCCACACACAGCCGAGCTACTCCTACGCCCTAGACTACATCAGAGATGCGACGCTCCTTTGGGCAGGAGTACCTTGAGGGTTTAGGGTCAACGCTTTAGGGCTTATGGGATAGATTCTGTCCCAATGCAGGCATCGACTGCCAACGAGATCGCATTTAGCACCGCCATCAATGCGAGCCTTCGCCGAATCATAAGTTCAATGATGCAACTGTTAATCAAGATCTGTGGTGAATGAACCCCATCCTTGATATGGGTTACTGCAGTGGCAGGGATTCTGAAATCTTGTGACTTGTGGCCTTGATGAAGGGAAGGGGTCTAGCACGCTTCATTCATCAAGGGTCTAGCTGTCTAGCTGAGGGTTTAGGGTTTAATTATCGCACATGATTTCGAGAACTAAATTTCCGGCTTCAGTATCTTTGGGGTAGCTTGGAAGGCTCAGCTCCTGATTTACTGGCATGTCCCGACATTTCTCGATTGCAGGAGTGTGGGCTCAGGCTAAACCCCGTTGCATAGAGCTGAGAGATGTGCATCAGAGGTCTACATCTTCCAACACAAGCAAGGTGTATCTGTTGCAGACTTGGGCTGCACAGTTCACTTATTTCGTCTTGTGTCAGGCTGCTGTTGAAGCTTTGGCTGGATCTCCGGACAGGACCTGAAACCACTAATTAAAGCCTAACGCTTGAACCAAAACGCCTGAAGCCAAAAACCCGAAGACCACGAAGCCACAAATCCCTACAGCCCTGAAGTAGCTGCCCAGCCCTGGACCCACCTTGACTTCTTCGACCGTTTAGAGGGTCCTTAGTTTCACGGTGCAGTGCTCAAAAGCCCTGACCTGGAATCATCCTTACCATGACCCCTGATTAATTGCCTCCCTTACCCTGAACGGCTTATAGTCAGGATCCTCGGGGTTATAAGGCTTATCTGGGCGCGGAGTTTATGCATCCGTGGCCTACGTTACCCAAAAACCACTGGATCCCAAGACCTGCGCTTGGCTGCTGAGGTGCGCGAAGGGCGCAGCCTGGGAACCAGCCGTGGCGCTGCTGGGCGAGATGGATGCTGCTCTGCTGCAGTGGCAGTCTCTTCAAGGGGCTCGTTTGGGGGTCCTTTTGGATTAAGGTGCGAGCTTGGAACTTAGAGTAATTAGGTCCTTTTGCTGACACTGCTAAGTGCCCCCAGTCCAAGGCAAAGGACATCCGGAGAGACAACGTGGCCTTCAATGCGACGATTACAGTTCCAGCCCCGGCTTGTACTTCTGTGCGTAAGGTTCGGGATTTAAGGTCTTAGAATTAGAAACTAAAACCCAGAGAACTGCTTGGAGGAGCAGGGGACTTAGCCAGCAGGTTATAAGTAGGTTCAGGAGTACTGAAACTACCTGCTCCTCCAAGCCCTGCATCCCCTACCTGCAGGACGTCGGAAGCATCAGTAGTAGCATGCCCTTATAGTCTCTAATACAGTTATACTATGTTATACTCCTCCAAACCCCATTGTCATTGAGACTCATTAGCATCTCATTAATGCCCCTGTATTACCCAGAACCACCAACAATCCAGACCACTCCTTGAATTTATTGACGGCACCTAAATTCAGGCATGAAGGGAGTTTTGGGAAGGGCATGTAGGAGCTTACATGGTAGCTGCAGAGGCCTGTGAGAAGGGCGGCCGATGGCAGAGCGCAGTGGCCGTGGCGGAGGAGATGGCATCAGCCAAGCTGCCGAAGGATCGGATTGCCGAGCTTTAGACTTCCTAGATTTAGGCTGCAGGTTCAAGGTTTGCGGTTTGAGGTTCTTGGGTTTTTAGTTTACTGTTAAGAAATTGGGGTTTAAGGTTTCGGCTTTCACGGCGGTGGTTTAAGCTTCGTGGTGTCAGGCAGATTGGCAACATACGTTGCGGTTAGGAGACAAATGCACTTGCCAATGCAAGTTAGATTTGTTAACAGGCCAAGGGCGTTGTTTGTTCCTTCCTGATCTTCTTACATGTTTTGCGGCGACAGTCTTGCCGGTACTATTTCGTGTCTGTTCGGTACTGTCATCGTCGCTGATGTTTTGCTTGGTCGTAAGCAGCTCCTGCACAACGATGCGCCAAATCCTAAAGACCCTACACCCTCAAAGGCTAAGTCCTAAACCCTAACCTTGGCAAGTAGGGGCTACCATGTTTGAGGAGGTCCTTATGGACCCTATGGTAACGAAACTAAGGATCCTACTCTTTAGATTTGGGGGTTCTATGTCAGGGTCCAGTAGCCCCGGAAACTCCCCAATGCAGGATGTTGTCACCTACAGCGCGCTGATCACCGCCTTAGAGAAGGGGGAGGCTTGACAGAAACCAGTTCAGAGCAGGGGCCTCCCCAGAGAACCCAAGATGCCTTAATTAAGGAATATACCGTAGGCCAGAATATTAAGGCCCCTATAATTTAAGGTATATTCCTTAATTAAGGGGTATTGGGTTCTCTGGGTCTACCCTAAACTCATGCTGAACCGGTGGGGGCCTCTAGCAGCTCAGTTCGGGCGAAGTATCCGAGCTCCGAACCCTGAGCAAACGAATGAACAAGCAGCTCGAACTTCCTGACATGCAGCTGCACTGTTGGAGCCTGGGCAGTCATTTACTATCGAATTTGGTGAGCTGTAGCTAGAACTGAACCTGGAAGATAGAAATTATGGCCCAAATCTTATTCCAACCATCGCAGCCCCCAATTTGTTTTTATACATCTCGATCTAGGCGCGGAAACCCTCCTGTAGACTTCTGACTGCTTGGGTAGACCATGTAAATGTGGTTGGCCGCATCCTGCCGAGAGTTTGTTGAGGGGGTCTCTCGGGCTTTCGGGTCTTTGTTTCTTATTTGGATCGGGGCTTTGTGTCTTGGCGCTAGGATCCGTGGCGAAGGGCTTATTTTTCAGGGTTTATAGTTTGGGGTTTGGGTGCGAAAGAAACAGTAATTAACTAAATAATAGATGAGGTGTGCATTGTCAAAGGCAGCGCCTTTAACTGCAAACGGCACTTAAATGGTTTGCATATGAATCTGACTCAAACCTCAATTTTAAGCCTCTGAAAGCCCAGAAGATTCTTTCATGCATACCCCGTCTCGGCCGGGAACCCACTGCATCTTAAACGTCTCCGGTGAGCAAGGACATCTTGCTTCCCCTTTACCTCTGTCTTCTAGGCAACACGCCGGGGAGGCATGCACTTACATACATGCATATCTGTACATACATGTTACATGTCAATGTTTGTGTGTTTGAACATGTGTTCCTGCATGTGTGTGTGTGTATATATATAATATACACGCACATACAGGCCTGGACACAACCATGTAGAGGTATAGGCCCTAGGCAGGTACGTGGTAAGCAGGCCGGTTGCCCTTTCCATTTCCGGCTCAGGACCAGTGGGCGAATGCATTGGACCTGCTACAGCGGATGAAGCTAGAGACTTGGTTGCGAGTTTCTCGTAAACCCTGAAGCCTCGTAATGAAGCAGGTACCTTGACCGACGGAAATCCAGTGCTGGACTTTGAAGCCACATCCTCAACCCCAAAAGCTTATTCCCCAATGAGTACTTGAAAGGTTCTTGAAAGCCAGAAGCCCTTGAAGTCGTTCAATGTAGCCCTGAGGCCTCAGCGCCTCCTCCCCCCGAACCAAATATCCTAAACTCCTAGTTAGGGTTTAGGGTTTAGGGTTTTAGGGTTTAGGGTTTAGGGCTTAGGGGTTTATAGGGTTTAGGGTTGAGTGTTGGAATTCAGGGCCCACTTGCTACACACTGCTCCTGAGAACAACTGCCCCAAACATCTTGACCGCCCCGGACCCGAACCATTGCAACAGCTTCATTTTCTCCTTGTGCCCCGTGAAAATCCTCCCTAAGACCAAAGGCCCAAAGCGTAACTACAAACCCCTTTGCGGATCCTCCTGGTCTTGGGGGCTAGATTCGAGATCGATCTGTTGTCTAGTTTCAAGGTGCTTTAGAATCTGATAGGGTTTTAAAAAGGTGTCAGATTTTTTGTTTAATGGCATCACACAAGTATTGCGTTCAGGGGGTTGGCAGATTAGGTTTGCAGATGCTGTGGCCAGATTCCAGTCTTTCTGCTTCCTCAAAAATTCGGTGCCCTTGTCGACTGAATGTTGCCTCTGTCTGGCTTATGCATCTCGAAACAATAGCTAAACCGGCTATACCATTGCTAGAGGCACGCTCCCTTATAGTTTGCCTGCAAAGCCTCAAGCAAACCATTGAAAGTTGGTTGTCACTGTGCTTTTTTGACGTTGAAAATTTGGAAAGCCACCTCTTGAGAGTGACCAAGGCAAGGGTCCATCCGAATGTGATCAGCAGCTTGGCAGTGAAGGGAATGCCGACGGCCCAATACCCCTCAACGAAGGAGTACACCCCTCGACCCCAAACCCCTTGACAAATGATGACGTATAGTCGCCATCTTACAAAGCCTGAACATGTCTGTAATACATACCTAACGCATACACGAGCTTTTCGACATCTTACCTTTGAAGTCAACTCAACTGAAGGCTTCAGCGCTGCTGCCAGCGCAGCAGCAAGGGGTTCGCAGTGGGCCTCCGCGCTGGACCCACACTTTTTTCGTTGACCGTGGAGTGGGGGCTTCGGGCTTTTGGTTAAGGACTGTTAGGAGATAGGAGTTGACAGGCTGTGGTTTCCGGGTTCGGGGCTGAACCGTTTGAGTCCGGCTCGTGCTCTTGTCGCCAGTGCATCAGGTTTCGTGGTTTTGCGGGGTTGAGGGTCTAGGAGTCTAGGGTTTCGGCGGCTGATAAAAGGGTGGGACTACTTTGTAATATTTTTCTCTAGCCTAAACCTTAGTGGTCCAAAACCCAACTTTTCAACTTTGGGGACTCTTATGAGGTAGTCTTAGTCTGAGAGTTTGGGCTTTTCAGCCCCCAAGCCCAGAATCCGAAATCTACACTCAAACCCAAACCGCGTAGAATTAAATCTGCTGCGCTTTTTCCCTTAATTAGTCTAAGCCCTAAGCTCCAGACCGTTGAAGCCAAAAATCACTGGGCCCACGATTCTCAGAAGCACTGAAAGAAAAAAGGCTGCCAGGTCAGTAAGCATAGTCTACTTGATTTGTATCTGTTCAAATCTCCAATAGTTGCCCTAAACCCTACAGCCCTAAAACCCTAAACCCGAAACCCACTGTGAGCGCCAGGACCTCCTCGAAGAGATGCGGACGAAGGCCTCGAGCAAGCCTAAGGGAAATGGCGTTCCTAGGATGCCCGGTTTTAGGGTTTAAGGGTTTAGGCTTTAGGCTTTTAGGGTTTAGGGTTCAAGGTTTAGGGGTTCGAGGTTTAGGTTTTAGGGGTTCCGGGCCTTGGCCTTCCAATAAAAAAGCCTCTTTATCAGGAACGTAAGGAATATAGCCCTGATACCGTCCCAATGTTGGTTGATTCCCTTAACAACAGTGTATAGGCTTCCCTTGGTAGGGTTCCAGGGGGAGGTTCAATGCTGGACTTGGTGTGCGCTGGGTGTTTACCCAATGGGATTCACGTTGCTCCTCTCCACACGATCCCCGGCGATCGATCGAAGAATGATACATCAAATGATTATGACATATAACATATATACCACATACATACATACATACATACATACATACATACAGACATACATTAGCATATTTAGTTGTGTCCGTATTTACCCATCTTCATGTGTATTTGTATTTATGAGGCTGAGGCTGATGGTCGTGCATGTTGTTGTCTGGCGATGTGTGTGTGTGTTTTTTTTTTGTTTTTGGCAGGCTTGCTCGGACTGAGGATGTCATACATCGTTTCTTAGCTCACACTTCAAGTTTCTAACCCCCCTCCCCCCAATCTTCTGGAATTGGAAGCACCCTAATTTAGATTCACTTTAGTTCTACGTCCTGGGCCACTCGTCAAGCGACTCCACAGCATAAGAACAACCCCTACATGACCCCTCACAACAGACTTCCATACTTCCGCAGAAAGTTTTTTCAACTGTCGAACCTGAACCAAACCCGAGCAATAGCCTGCCGAGCAGTGCATGCCCGACCCTTTAAACGCACCATATCCATTGGCCGACAATTGTAACGAACAAGGGCCAGAGTGAGTAGGTGAAAACTGCAATCATATCCAGTACAACATGTCTCGCTGTGAAAAGCTTAACATCCAACTCACTTACTGTAAATCCCTAAGCCCCGAATCTTCATAGAAGATCTAGAAGGTGAGCCTTAAACTTCGCGCCCTAAACCCTAAACCCTCACCCTAAACCCTAAACCCCAAACCGTTCCTGTAACGACAATGAAGTTGCCAGGCCGTTGAGTTCGGGGCGGTGTCCTACAACACCGCCTTGGCCGCTTGTGGGGCCGCATCGCAGTGGGAGGAGATGCTGAACCTGCTGAAGGACACCTTCAATCCTCAAGCCTCGTAGTAGAGTAGGCAACCTTTAACTCAAGCTTTTTTTGGAAGCTATAATAGTCCCTATAGGGCCCCAGTAGACCCCCAAAGGTTACCCGGTTAACTTTTAATTCCCCATGGGATGCTGGACAAGTGGGAAAGCGTCAGGGGTTTCGGGGTGTGGGGCTTAGGGTGTTGGTCTCAGGAGGCTTGGGCCAAACCTAGGGCAGTAGTTAGGTGCAGGATTTTTTGAAATCTAGGGCTCAAGTTAGGGAGCTTGTAAGGGTTTTGGGTTGAGCCCTGTAGAACTTTGAAGCGAGGCTTTCAGACTTTAGGACCTAGCCTGAACCTCGAGAAGCGGGATTACACTCTAGCCCTTGCGGGCACGTGGATTAAGGCTTTCTCACGTTTAGGGGTGAAAGCTTCAGGGATTTTAGGGGTTGAGAGTCTGATTTGTAGGTCGGGGAAGCTTGGATGCTCGATCAAAGCCTGTCCTTTGCTGAGGTCGTCTAGGCCGTATGCTCTACGTGTAGATTTACGGCTTGGGATTTAGGGTTCATAGCGTTTATAAGGTTTGGGATCTCTAGGTTTCGCAGGTCGCAAATTCCACCCTAAAACCCCGAAACACCTAAATTCTGAGTCCTGAGCCCCACGTAAAGCACAGGAAATGCTCCACGGCGCTGTGGAGCCCGATGATTTCGCTTCCTCCGTGCTCCTGGCGGAGGCAATGATTCCTGCATAATTCGGAATGTGGGCGAGGGATTAGAGTTTCGGGCTCAGGGTTCGGGAGTTCATATCTTTAAGACTCGCGCCCCAAGCCCCAAAACCCCAACGTTGAGTTTTTAGGGTTTTGGAGCTTGGGGTGACTTCCGAGCGAGGATCCTGGTGGAGTTGACATGAATGTTCTGATTTGCCCAAGACCTGCAAACTCTAGAGAGGCTTGAATACTTAGTCAAATTGTTCCGTAAGGTTCCTGTTCTAGTTAGACTAGAGTATACCCCCCGACCCCTGCGGCACTATTGCGGCACCTGCAGTACACATTATACGGGCAAAAACACATAGAAGTGCAATGGATTGATTCACTTAGAGAATCCCCGCCTCCGAACCAGTGCTAGCCATCGGGAACAGCTTGCGAGCCCTTAAAGCCTCCATCCTACGCCCTGAGTCATTCACACCGAATCCTAAAGGGTTTACAAGTCCCTATTCACATGAAGGCCGGGACCCGAACCGGAATTCCTAAACACCCCGACCGTAAACCCCACAAACGCTCCGAAAATCCCAAGGCTAAGTCCCAAAGGCACTGTGGAGCCCTCCACCCCAAAGCAAGAGCCCTACCATATACCTCACAAAGGCTAAACTTCGTAGACCTCAGCAGCCTTCGAACCCCGAATTACAACCCCAGTAGGGCCTTAAAACTTTCCCGACGCTACACCCTAAACCCTGAGCCCTTGTGTAAGGCCGGAAGTCAAACTAGACAGCTGTTTCTATCCCCTAAACCATCCTAATCCGCAAACCTTCCAACAAATACTAAAGCCCTAAACCATCCTAAACCCTATTGCATCAACCTCAAAGCCCCCATGAGGGCTTTTGAAAGCGGGCAACCCTGAACCCTAAACCCTAAACCCTAAAGCTAGACCCTAAACCCTAAAATCTTAACCCTAAACCGTAGCCTAAACCCAAGCTTCCTAAAACTGGCCCAGGCCGAGCAGCGTGCCTTAGCCGAAGCCGAGGCCCTCGGTCCGGGTGGCAAAGTGCAAAGTTGCAGCCACCGTTGGGTTTTTTTTGGTGGGTTCTGTTGGGGCTTGCGGCAGAAATCCGTAAAGGCCTAAGTGTCTCAAGTCCAGCAGCGACATTGCTTCGGAATGGGCTGTTCGTAGTTGTGACTGGTCTTGGTATACTTGCCACGCGTCGTTTGCAGGGCATGACTATTCGAAGCCCCTGAGCCACCAACTGAGACTGTACCTTCTTAGATATCAGACTCTGTTGTCGGTGATCCTGTAGCAGCCCATGCGGCGGGGCTTCTGCAGGTCTTGTTTGTTCTGAAAGATTATCTTGAACCCGAAAGACATATTGCAGCCTCTGTTATCTACCTACCTGCCTAGCTATCTAGCTATCTGTCTCTCTGTCTACTTACCTATCTACCTATATACCTGTTTGTTTGTCTGTCTTTCTGTCTTCTGTCCGTCCGACCGACCGTCCGTTGGTTTACAGCTCTCCGTCTAGCTGTTTGTCTGTTGTCCTTTGTATCGAGTCTATCTAGCTGTCGATATCTCTAACCACTCTAGTCTGATAGCCCTCTATCTATATATCTATCTATCTATCTATCTGTCTGTGTATCTACCTTTATACATAGGATCCATGTATCAACCCGCCACATCATGTACTTGTATCGCCGCGAACTTACTATATCTTTGAAAATGGTAACCCAAGATTTTGTCATCTCCTCGACGAAAAGGCCGACCTCCTGCAGCGCATCGTTCGCTGTTTGGGCTGCTGGGCGACAACTCGGTTTGGGGCTTGATTGTGGATAGTGCGGTTTAGGGTTTTTAGTGGCAAACATGTAAAATTCAGACCCGACCCTAAACCCTAAACCTCCGATTATGTTCGGAGGTCCTCATGGAGCACCAAAGGCCCGCAAGGGTTCGCCCACAGCCTTGCAGGATTCTAGGATGGAGCTCGGAACATTTGCTAGGAGAAAAAATCCTGAAAAAATCACAGCTCTAGGGTCAACATAGACCCCCCAACCCCAAGTCTAATCATAGACCCCCAACCCCAAGTCTAATTTTAACCCCCCCCCCCACCCCAAGTCTAATCATAGACCCCCAACCCCAAGTCTAATTTTTAACCCCCCCACCCCAAGTCTAATCATAGACCCCTAACCCCAAGTCTAATTATAAGGCCCCGTACCAACGCCGCTTTAAAGGCTTGCAAAACCCCGTGAATTGGTACGGCGAACAGAAGGAACCCTCTTCTTCTTCTTAAGCAACGCTCTACAACAGGAACATGACATCAACAATCACCCACAAACCTATACTCTACCGACTCTACCCTATAAACCCTAAACCCGAAGCCCTAAACCCTAAACCTTAAACCCTATAAACCCTACAAACCCTGTAAAACCCGAAACCCTAAACCCTATAAACCTTCAACCCTAAGCCCTATAAACCCTCTATGAACCCTAAACCCTAAACCAGGGGCTCGGGAGTCCCAGGCTTCCTTCCGGCCCCGCTGCCCTCTCCCCGGCCACGGGACAAAGAGGGGGAGCTGAGAGCGGAGCTTGAAGGGAGCTGGCGGAAAAGGGTGCAGGGTTTGGGAAAGTTTAGGTCTTCGGATTCTGGGGTTGGGATTCTGGGTGTCGGACTCTGGGTTTCTGGGTGTCGGACTCTGGGTTTCTGGGTTTAGGATTCTGCGTTCGGATTCTGGGCTTAAGATTCTGGGTTTTTTTTCTGGGTTTAGGATTCTGGGTTTAGGTTCAGGATATATTTGGGCTTGCTACTCTCGGCCGATTTTAAGATCATGGAAGCTAATGCTTCGAAGCTCAGATGTCTGTAAGACTCGGGTGTTGCAGTGGTGCAAATTTGTACTACTGTGTGGATCTATCTATATGCCTGCATGTATGTATGTATG